CAGATAGAATGATATTGAGGATTGAAAGATATAAAATGATCTTGACGAATGGATGTTTGTGAACATGGACATGACAGTGTACTTGGATATTGAAAAGAAAGTTCCCTAAAGATGGATTCTGTAGGTAAATTAACGGTGATGGATTGAGTCTGAACATTAAAAGTGGTGAACGCGACAATAATAGTAAGAGAGATAAGTAGGAGAATAAGATAGATTTTAGTTGCGAATAGCTGATCGACTAAAGTGAAGCGTTCTTTCTCGTCGAATCGATTGATGTTCATAACATAATCGTACAATTTTTTCACTCTATTGTGTCGATGAGTGATAGATTCTTCCATTATTTTAGAAAACTGAGAACAACAATAAATGATTGTTGAAATGGAAGAATTATAATTAAACACATCGTTATTTTTATGCAACTAACCATCTGCTATATCAGTATTTCTATTGAAATACATTTTAAGGACAAATGTTAAAGAAGTACTTCATCTGAGAAAATATTCCAGATCATCTTTAAATTCCAGGCATTCTCTGCACAAAATTTCTTGAGAACGAAAATTCCTCTACATTCTAGTTAAGAATTCCGTGTGCGCATTGTCAATGATGAAGAAAACGAATTTCCATTGGCGATCTATTTTAAATATAATTAGAAAAGAAGTAATCATAGCACAGATGGCAAGCTCAAGTCATGCCTTACATTCAATCATGCAAATCAAATTGACGAACGATAAAGAATATAAGCTCGTAGCACAAATCGTATTCTTTCACAGACAAACTAATTCATAACATGACATTACAGGAGTATAGAAATTCGTCAACTGTCATAACCGATGTATATTGCTACGAAGGTTTCGAATAATTTCAAGTGTTGATAGTGCGAGATATGAGAATTTTATGGGAAGATGCTGAACTGGGTTATTGGTTTTGACTTTGCAGTGAAAAGACTTTCTAGATTTGGTGAAAATAAACCAGTGAAAATCTCTTGTTAGGATATTGAGATTGAAGAAGAATACGAAATCGCGTGTCGTACTGAATTATGTTTTATATGATTGCGAAAAATCGTGACTTACGAACTATTCATCTGCAGACTAGCGTTGACACGTCATCTCAATATTCAAATATTCGTTTAGTATTATCTCATATGTATACATTTGTCAACACTCGTTTACTCTATCAAATGTAGTATTTTACATAACAGAAGGTTTAGAAGAGTACTATGACCATCGATTATGTAATTAGTAATTTTTTAATCGGAAGATATGATCGTTTTAAACCTATTCAATCTTTTCTCAGCACGTGTGCATCTTCTGTTTCTCCTACGTTCGTCTTACTATGAAACTTATTTCCGATCACCTTCACTACCGTCGATGAAGAGGCTTTCCCCTAAAAGCAACTTTAGTTGAAAGCATTTGAAGTAGAGCACAGCAAAGGAATGTGTTATTTCAATAATCATGTAATATTTTTGTTCTTCTTCGCATTCGTTTAGTAAACACTCCAATGATAAATTCAAATGTATAATTCTTGTTTTAATTGCGTTTATTTCTAGAATAAATTTTCGATAATTCATTCAAAAGAAATCACACACACACACACGCAAACAAGTTTTTTTAAATTGTTAGTCAACTAAAACGAAAAATTCTATTTTAGAGCATGTTCAATATGTATTCAAAATTAATTTTTCATCACTCGCTTCATTCGTTATTGAAGCAGGTGAAGTTGGAGCAGCTTATCAAACAATCATCGTTGCATTCGATTTGGCTCGAAAAGTAAAAGAATAACGAAATTGATGTACCTATAACACATGTTATTGTAATAGCTGCACACGAGCCATCTAATGCAAAGCATCTTCATAGAAATGTCTTTGTTGATTTGCAAATGTTACTGTTTTTTTTATGAGAGAAACAGATCAAACGTCTCATATTTGCGTAACATGCTTTATTCTTGAAGTAGAATGAACGTTTAGTTTACATACTTTAACAGGATGATTATTGTTTATCAACAAAAACCTTGAACTATCCACATTAGTGCGGTCGGGTCCATTGCCAACGAAATAGCAAAACAAAAGAAACATTATTTATGTCTGATTTGTTTCAAAGATAGTCAAGCTGCCTGTAATTTACTGGCACTAGCACGTGCTCTGTTAACCGTTCATTCACCGGTATCTATCGGTAATCGGCTGTCATTTATTCATCGGGATATTGCGTGAATGTCCGATTGATTTTGGGTCATTCAAATGTTCCTGTAATAAATGTCATAGGTTTAATAAAATAATTACCGTCTCCTTTTTTTTGTCTCTTCGTGACATAGAAAAGAGAAATGACCCATTTGAATAAAAATATTTTCTTTTCTTTTATCTGATTGATTCAAACATATATAAACGAGAAAAATATTTTTGTGTAAAAATCATAAATAATTATCAACGATTACTGAAGAGATGCTTTATTTTTCAAATCCATTTTCAATATTTGTCTTCATTGTTATTTTAACAATATCAACTTTGGCAATAAAACCTAAACAAAATATTCATGAAGATGATCAACAATTTAATTTACGTGACTTAATTCGTTTGAAGCGTCAAACAAATTGTGTTGCTCTTGGTGATTCTTGTGTTAAAAGTGCTGATTGTTGTGATGGTCCAATACGTGGTAATAATATTGGACAAACTGTTTGTCGAGCAAGTGATCGTCTTTGTCATTCACGTACCAATAATGGTCGCCGTTAGACAAAATCAATAATCACTGTTAAAATTTAATAATTGTGGTGAATTTAATTCATAATCAAAAAGTGCAACTTTTCCAATAGCTCCTTTAAAAAATGATTTTCTATCTCTTGTACCAATACGCATAGGCGCTGTTCCTTTTTCAGGTACAACTTTATAATCAATCAAAGCATCTTGATCCCTTTGTATACCATTTTTAAAAATTTTTGTATAACCAGTTGGATAATCATCCGTAACGTTAATTGTATTAATAACAAGTGTATAGAAAATCCATTGTCCAATCTTAATTTGATCTTGAAAATAACTTCCAGCACCTAATCCACCATTTAAATTAAAAACATAACCACTTATTCTATTCGGACGATTTTCTTTATTGAAATAATTATAGATTCTTGCCGACCAATTTTGTTGTTTTCTTTTACCTTTGCCCACCCACCAAACATATCCACTTCCTGTACTATGTTCAAATTGTAAAGTATCTGGACGAAACCAAGCAACAATTGTTAAAATACCCGTACGAACAATTTCTAAATAATCATTTTCTTCAATTGTAAAATATTGATCAATTCCATTGAATACACTAACAGTATCACCATTTCGCATTTTACCTTCTAATGGATCATTTGTACCCATGTCGCCTCTTTTTCTAGGACTGCGTCGCATTTGCGCGCAGTGGTCATTTTGCGGCGCAACTGCGCGTAACTGCGCCGCAGTGGTCACAATCAGAGTCACATTAAAAAAACTGCGCTTACTGCGACGCATTTGCGATCGCATCTGCGCCACAGCTATCACAGTCAGTCACATAAATGATACTACGCTTACTGCGTCGCAGTTGTGCGCATCTGCGACGCAGTTACCGCATTTGTCTAACTCATCTATTGGAGAATTTTGAATAACAACCGTTAGTGCTAGCAGTCGAGTATAAAAGGAGATGTAAAAATCATTCAAGCTTATTTTTTCAGTTTTCAAATGCCATACCACTTGATGCTACAACGATAAACTTCGAACGGTAAGTGGTACCTATCATATGTATGAGTCACCAGTAAGATGAGTCATCGAAACAATGAGTCATCNGTTTCATCGTCTCTTCGGACGTGTGTGGACGCGTTTTGAGAGAGAGACGCGGTTGAACGCATCTGAAAGACGCGTCTGGATGCGTTTGATTAACGCATCTAGATGCATCAAATGTTTCATTTCCATCGCGTTTGGTGCGTTTGTGCCTTGCGTTTGAAACGCATCCCAAACGCGTTTTAAACGCGTTTACACTCAAAAAAATTTCACATGGGAAATGAACCATCTAATGCAAAACATCTTGATAAATATATCTTTGTTGATTCGCAAATGTTACTGGTTTTTATAAGAGAAACAGATCAAACATTTCATATTTACGTAACATACTTTATTCTTGAAGCAGAATGAACGTTGAAAAATGAACTGTCCACATCAGTGCGACCGGGTCCATTGCCAAAGAAATACGAAAACAAAAGAAACATTGTTTATGTCTGATTTGTTTCAAAGATAGTCAAGCTGCCTGTAATTTGTTCGTCAGGATATGCCATGAATATGTCCGGTTGATATCCTGGATTTGCTATTATACACGATTTATGTCACCGATTTTTTTTATTTTGTCGTTTCAATGTCCCTTTAATGAATGTCACAGGTTTAATAAAATAATTACCGTCTCCTTTTTTTGTCTCTTCGTGACATAGAAAAGAGAAATGACCCATTTGCATAAAAATATTTTTTTTCTTTTATCTGATTGATTCAAACATATATAAAAGAGAAAAATATTTTATGCAAAAATCATCAATAATTATCAACGATTACTGAAGAGATGCATTATTTTTCAAACTTATTTGCAATATTTGTCTTCATTGTTATTTTAACAGTATCAACTCTGGCAATAAAACCTAAACAAAATATTCATGAAGATGATCGACAATTTGATTTACGTGATTTAATTCGTTTGAAGCGTCAAACAAATTGTGCTGCTCTTGGCGATTCTTGCGTTAAAAGTGCTGATTGTTGTGATGGTCCAACACGTGGCAATAATATTGGACAAACTGTTTGTCGAGCAAGTGACCGTCTTTGTCATCCACGAAGTAATAATGGTCGCCGTTAGACAAAATCAATGATCACGGATTCAAAAGACATTTTTCTCATATAATCATTTATTTTACTCGGTTTCAATAAGCAGTTCGAAGGTTAGAAAAGGTTTTCAAAAAAGATTTTTTATTAAGAAGTTTTGAGTATTAAATAAAATATGTTCGTATTAATATTAAAATAGTCTGGATTTATATATTGTTCTTGATAACTTATTAGTTTGACGAGAACATTTATGATTATCCTGCATACAATGAAATAAATTTAATAATTGTGATGAATTCAATTCATAATCAAAAAGTGCCACTTTCCCAATTGCTCCTTTAAAAAATGATTTTCTATCTCTTGTACCGATTCGCATAGGCGCTGTTCCTTTTTCTGGTACAACTTTATAATCAATCAAAGCATCTTGATCCCTTTGTATGCCATTTTTAAAGATTTTTGTATAACCAGTTGGATAATCATCCGTAATGTTAATTGTATTAATAACAAGTGTATAGAAAATCCATTGTCCAACCTTGATTTTATCTTGAAAATAACTTCCAGCACCTAATCCACCATTTAAATTAAAAACATAACCACTTATTCTATTCGGACGATTTTCTTTATTTAAATAATTATAGATTCTTGCCGACCAACTTTGTTGCTTTCTTTCGCCCTTGCCCATCCACCAAACATATCCACTTCCTGTACTACGTTCGAATTGTAAAGTATCCGGACGAAACCAAGCAACAATTGTTAAAATACCCGTACGAACAATTTCTAAATAATCATTTTCTTCAATTGTAAAATATTGATCAATTCCATTGAATACACTAACACTATCACCATTTCGCATTTTATCTTCCAAGGGATCATTTGTAAATATTCCATTTAGATTATGACCTGAATAATCATTTGGATCCTGAGGATTTAATGGCCAATATCCTACTGGAGAATATTCCAGAACCAACTGATCATAATTCGAAAGAGAATTACCAATTACAATACACATGTTTATTAAGAAAAGTTTCGAAAACATTTTTTAAAATCTAAAATATTAAAAGATTATTATTTTTTTTTTTGGTGAAATAAAATACAGTTTATAAACGCGCATCAACACAATCTCTAGGTAAAATTCCTTTAATGTCATAAATGATTTTTTTTGAAGATTTAATTGAAGAAAAGTCTAAGCTTTTAAATTGTTGATGAGCAACTCCAATAACAATGCCATGATAATCATCAAAATTGATATTTCTATCCAAATCTTTTATCTCAATGCCAAATTCATCAAAAACATGTTTTTTCGATGCCCAGGGATCAACAACATCGACATGACAACCAAATTCTTCTAAATCTTCAATAATATCAATTATTTTTGAATTCCGAATATCGGGACAATTTTCTTTGAAAGTTATTCCTAAAATTAAAATCTTTGAATTAATAACAGAGATTCCTTTTTTTAGCATTGTTTTGACAATTTCCGATGAAATATAATGTGACATTGTATCATTGATTCTTCTACCTGCAAGAATCATTTCCGGAATGTAGTTTAATGATAAAGACATATGAATCAAATAATACGGATCAACAGCTATGCAATGTCCGCCAACAAGACCTGGTTCAAATGGTAAACAATTCCATTTTGTTCGTGTTGCTTCTAAAACTTCATGTGTATCGATTCCAGCTAAATTAAATATACGTGAAAGTTCATTTACAAATGCGATATTTATATCACGTTGAGAATTTTCAAATAGTTTTGCCGCTTCAGCTATCTTTATCGACGAAACCATAAATGTTCCTGCTTCGATTATTTCCTTATAAAGTGCATCGATTTCTTGAGCGATGGCAGGTGTCGAACCTGATGTTATCTTTCGTATTGTTCTTAGTGTATGAAGTTTATCACCGGGATTGATACGTTCAGGTGAATAACCACAAAAGAAGTCAATATTATATCTCAGATGACTTACTTCTTCAAGAATCTTAACACAAATATCTTCTGTTACACCTGGATAAACAGTTGATTCATAAATAACAATATCATTTATTTTCAGAATTTTTCCAATTGTTTCAGATGCGTTTTGTAATGGAAATAAATCAGGACGGTTATTTTCATCGATGGGTGTTGGAACGGCAACAATAAAGATTTGACATTCATGCAAGTCTTCCATATTTGTTGTAAATTTTAAATATTTCGATGATTTCAAGTTATCATCAGATGATTCAAGATTTGGATCATGACCATTTTTTAATTTTTCAATACGTTCTTCGTTCATATCATACGCTACTGTTGGACGAGATTTTCCAAATTCGACAGCTAATGAAAGACCAACATAGCCAGCTCCAATTACTCCGATGGATTTCATCTAAAATAATGAATTATCCGAGAGTCAGTTTATTCGAAATACAATAACAATTATATGGTAAGTTTTGACGCCTCCTTTTTCATATTGACGCGAAAACATGATTTACTATTACCTTTCTTATTTTCTATACTTAATTGACACGAAAAGAAAAAAGGGCAATTCGAAAAGCATCTTTTTCTCAATATAACAAAAATAAGATATTCATCCTAAAATAAAAAGTATGAAATAAATGATAATTATTGACAACAAAATTCTCACATGAACATTTCTTCGTAGTTGGACTACATGCCCCACTCGTACAATCTGAAGCTTTACTACATGATTTTCCACTTGCACATTTTGTTGTACAAACAGTTCCACCGCAATCAACATCAGTTTCGTCTTGATTTCGTAACGAATCACTACACGTTGCAGCTAAAATAAGTATTTTATCAAATTTAATAATAGATCTTTACAAAAAAAAACATTTTACTTCGGCATGTTTTATCCGTTGGTCGACAAAATCCATTTTGACAATCTGCATCTTTTCCACAACTCTTCGTATCTGGACATTTAGCTGAACAAACTGATCCACCACAATCAGTATCTGTTTCATCTTGATTTTTGTATCCATCAGAACAACTGGGTGCTACAAATGCTCGCTTTAAAAAACGATTTCATCATAAATCTAAGTGATAATACTTTGACATGATTTATCTGTTGCACGACAAAAGGCACTTGTACAATCAGCATTTTTCCCGCAAGATAAACCATTTGCACATTTAGCTGTACATGCTGTACCGCCGCAATCAACATCGCTTTCATCTTGATTTCTCAATGAATCAGAACAAGTTGCCGCTGTAAGACAGAAGATGGAAATATTTGTCTGAATACAATTATATTCAGAATGAAAACGAACTTTGACATGTTTTATCCGTTGGCCTACAAAATCCACTTTGACAATCTGCATCTTTTCCACACGTTTTTGTGAGAGGACATTTAACTCCGCAAGTTGATCCGCCACAATCAATATCTGTTTCATCTTGATTTCGGAATCCATCGGAACATCCTGATACTAAAACCGAAAGATTCATTTGAATTTCTCTGAGTTTTTCAAAATAACCTCGACATGTTTTATCCGTTCCTCGACAAAATCCACTCGTACAATCGGGATTTCTTCCGCAAAATTTTGTAAGAGCACACGTTGCTGTGCAAATCAATCCACCACAATCAACATCAGTTTCATCTTGATTTTGAAATCCGTCAGTACATGTTGCAGCTAAAAATAGATTCAAATATTAGGGAAAAAAGATGAATTCTTTTTTGAAATACTTCGACATGTTTGATCTGTTAATCGACAATAACCACTAGTACAATCAGAATTTTGCGAGCATGTTTCACTATCTATACATTGAGTTGAACATACTGATCCACCACAATCAACATCTGTCTCATCTTGATTTTTATATCCATCAGAACAGCTGGGTGCTGGAAGTTTCATTTAGAAATACTTCATTCAACATATAAAACTTACTTTGACATGTTTTGTCATTTGAACGACAAAACCCCGCTTGACAGTCTGATGAAGCTTCACATGACTTATTATTAGAACATTTCGTTGAACAAACTGATCCTCCACAATCAACGTCAGTTTCATCTCCATTCCAATAATTATCTGTACATGTTGATACTTCGAAAAGAAAAAGTTTTTCTCCACAAAAAAATCTCGAGAAATAAAAAAGAATCGAAATACTTTGACATGTTTTGTCATTTAAACGACAAAATCCAGTTGTACAATCTCCATCCTTTCGACAAGTTTTATTTAAAGAACATTTTATTCCACAAATTCGTCCTCCACAATCAATATCGGTTTCATCTTGATTTACATAATTATCCGTACAAGTCGGTGCTAAAGAACAATTTCCAATCAACTTTATCACAAACATAGTGACGAATCTTTTTTCTTTACTTTGACATGTTTGATCTGCTATTCTACAAAAATCACTAATACAATCGGAATCTTTCGAACATGGTTTTGTATTTTCACATTTTGAAATTGCACTTCCACTTCCACAAACTAACGCTGTCGTTTGATTTACACATGCTAAACAAATGTTTATAAACAAAATCAAATCCGAGAACAAAGCTTACAACTAATTATCGTTAGAGTTTGTTGATGATCAAACGAACAAAAATATAATAAAGTGAAAATAGTTTGATTATTATTTAAATGAATTGGAATCGTAATTGAAGGAAATAAATTTTTGATATTAAATATGATATGGTTTGTTGAACGTTGTTGACACGATATGGTTCCACAACCACGAGGATATTCAATGACAAACTTTACTCTTAATACATTATCATTGAGATGCTCGGAATTTTCACATTGAATTGTTCTTGTGAAAATGAAAATATTTCATTTTTTTAGTTTTTTCGAAAAAAGAAATCTTACTCTCGTTTCTTTCTCCGTCCATTTGTGACAATAACAAGTCCAGCATCGATTATTTGTATTCGATTAAGTGCTAATATTGTATTTAACTGAAAGAAGAAATTATTAATCATAGAAGAGGAAAACAAAAGAATGAAATAGCCTACATTTGAACTCAGTGCATCAATATTTGATACGTTTAACGATCCAACATTTGTTAAATTTGTTATGTAATTTAATTCATATTGTTTTGTGCCTTTGATATGCAAACGAAGAGAAATAATCGTTTGAAAACTAAAAATACAACATACTTGTTTTCGTTTCTGGGAAGACAGCATTATTTTGTAAATAAATCGGAATAAGACCAATGGAAATAACTCCGCCAATAATTAACATCGAAAACAAAAATAGGGTCATTAGAAGCAACGATAAATAACACGAATTGATTTGCATTTTATCTAAATTAATCTGAAAAAGAACAAGACATATTTATATAGCATAGTATAACAAAATAAAATCATAGACATTGACATTTAATATACAAAAATAGCTAATGTCATTTCATAAATCATTGCTGTACTTTTTCGCGATTTATGTCAATCTTGGGAAGAAATGTTCCTACGTTACAGTCATTCTGACTTTTGACATAGATATTTTCTCGAAATTATTCAATCCCAAGGTTAACATTATTTATTCGTTTTTCTTTTAACGAAAGACAAGAAAAACGTAAGAATTGTCAATGTAACGTTGAAATTTCATCGAATTGAAATTGATGAGTTAAACAATTTGTATAGTAAAAATGGGTAGATCGGATGTATTTTTCACGTTTTTCTTCGGTCCACCCCATGATAAATTTCCCACATTATAAAAAACAGTTGTAATAACAGCAACAGATATAAGCGAAGTACATAATTTATTCAAAATATAACCAAGAACAAGTTTCGGATATATTCTTCGAAGTTTTGCTTTCAAAAACGATGAAATAAAAAAATAAAACGTCGGATATAAAACAATAAATACTTGAATTATTAATTGAATAAGTTGAACATGTTGTGTTAATTGATAAATAAATAAAGCAATATTAAACAATCGAAAATAAACTAAAGCCATTCTGGCCATATCAAGAAATAAAGATAAACGAATTATTGGATGAATTCGACTTGAACAAACACCAAGTAATGAATTAAAAAAAGCATTACTTCCCCATCGACGACGTTGTGTTAAAAATCTGTATAAACTATGCGGAGGTTTCGTATAACAAACAGCTGATTCAACCATGCATGTCTTTATTTTATGGTATTGAATCAGATATGCTAAACGACGGTCTGTACCAAGTCTTTGAACTGTTGTATGAATAAGTTGACTCTGACGGGGCATTTTTGCATAATCAGACGTAACATACGAAAATTTTTGGTCAACTTTAATCATTGTAATACAACCAGGTAGACAAGTAAGTCTTCGGAAGATATTTTCAAAGCTTCTTCTTAGAATTTGTCCATATAAATATTGATAATTTTGATAAAGATTCCAAAATCCTCCAAAATGATTATTGAAATCGACCATAACAATTCCACATGCAGCACCAACGTGTCGATATTCCATTTCGTCAATAAGACGTGTTAATGAACCTGATCGAATAAAACTATCAGCATCTGTGAAAAACATATAATCATATTTTGATATACGATACAAATGTTTGATTTCTTTTCTTATTAATTTTCTAAAATTAACTGTTGATGTTGATATATCATTTCTTAAACTATTGAATAAATCAAATGATAAGATAAGACTATCTTTCTTTTCCATATTAATCTCTTTTTTAATAATAACAACTGGAACTTGATGACGATAACCATAAATAATATCACAACTAATATTTTCATCTTTCCACGAATTGTATTCAATATTTGTTTGAGATTTGACCGTTTTGTTTAAAACAGAATCAACATCTGTCGAATTTCCATCAGATATAATCACAATTAATAATCTATATAGTTTAAATGAATTATGAATAATCGAATCGATTGTATATGAGATTTCATCGAGTTTTTCTTTATAAACAGGTACTATAGATACAATTGTCTTTTGATTTCCATTTAATATCGGTCGATTATAGTCATACAATGAATAAGTTTTGTATAAATTATAAAAGGGTAAGATTATTGCACATAAGATATCTTTGATTTTAAGAATGATTATTACTACAATCACTCCTTGTTGGCCACCAAATAAATAAATAATTGCAATACATATCATATTAATTATAAATAATATTAAATATAGGAAATATCGTTTGATTTGAAACCATGGATTGAAATGCTTTTTATTACTTTCGATTTTGAATAGATTTGATAAAGATTTTTTCCAATATTTTTCAATCAAAATTCCACATAAACCGATTAAAACGATCACAATTATTGCCGTTAATGCAACTATTGTTCGAGTACTATTTATATTAACACTTGATGATAGACTTCGTTTTACCATTTTCAAAACTGTAAATAAATCGATTACATTTTGCGCAATAGGGAAAAAAGAAGAAATTTATGCATGGTTAACAAACAAAGGTAAAAGGAGCGGATAAACAGCATAAACTGTTTTTCCAACCTTTAAAAAATTATTGGTAAGTACGTGTCACCACGCTTTTTCTTATATTTTACATGTTTTTGTTTACCAAGAAATGTTTTTTCAATTATGATTTTTATCCTTTTTTATCTCTACCTTTGAATGCATATCATTACTTTTTGAATATTATCGGATTCAAAAACATGATTTTACACGTGTACCATGTTTCTTTGCAGAAATGACCCGTTTTGAAAATCAATCTCTGATTTCTATTTAATCAAATCCTTTTTATTATTCTCAAGTTTTCACAAAATAACATTTAAATAAAATTTTTCACAATCGATCTATTGAATTTTCAAGTCGATTTCATAATGATTTATCAATCAATATCAGGAAAGAATATCATTTAACCATCAAATTAAGGCATAGAATCACCGGTAAACTAATGAATATATAACCGACATTCGTTTTTCACCTTTGAAACAAATACACACTGATATTGACTATTTAATAAGAAAAAATAGATTGCTCCCTGAAACGTGTATTTATTCAACTTGCCCTTTTAATATGTCATTTGTTGCTTATATTGATCGACATTTTTCATCAGGTACTTTCGTATAAAATAAAATAGAACATGTCATGACAGTTTCTTCGCTGTGTATTTCATTTTTGTATTCAGGATATGCCTATTTCAATAACATATATGAATATTTCGTTTGAATATTATCGAATTCAAAAACATGATTTTACACATGTATCACGTTTCCTTGCAGAAATGACCCGTTTTGAAAATCAATCTCTAATTCCTATTTAATCAAATCCTTCTTATTGTTCTCAAGTTTTCACAAAATAACATTTAAATGAAATTCTTCACAATCGACTTATTGAATTTTCAAGTCGATTTCATAATGATTCATCAATCAATGTCAGGAAAGAATACCATTGAACCATCAAATTAAAGCATAGAATCATCGGTAAACTAATGAACGTATAACCGACATTTGTTTTTCACCTTGGAACATATACACAATGATATTGACTACTTAATAAGAAAAAATAGATTGCTCCGTGAAACGTGTAGTTATTCAACTTGCCCTTTTAATACGTTGTTTTGTTGGTTATATTTATTGACATTTTTCATCAGGTACTTTCGTATAAATCAAAATAGAACATGTCATTATAGTTTCTTCGCTGTCTATTTCATTACTGTATTCAGGATACGCCTATTTGAATAACGTATATGAATATTTTCACAGAAATCATCAAAATTCAAATGCTTATCTCGATAAAAATGTTTTCATTTATGATTTTGAAAATCAAATCTCATGAAAGTTATAGAACGACTGTTTATTATAAATTGTTTTTTCTAAAGAGCGAATGAGAGTAACGAGAACATAGCTGTTTTGTGCTTATCGAATCGATGGAAAACATTGTAATGATACTTTATATTTCATCAAAGTTCTTGCAAGCAAAGAAATTTATGTAAAGCAAGGCATTTAATATGCGAACAAAGAGCAAAACTAAATTCATAAATAAATTGAAAAAGAAATCTCATTCTAAGAGAACCTTCAATAAATTTCGCTTTTTTAAAATCTTTTCACAAATGTCGTATGAGTAAAAGTTGTCGGTCATAAAAGCACAATTATCGACTTTTGGGATGTGGCATGTTTTCATATTCATTTCTAGAACTAAAGAATAAACATCGTGCATTACTTTTTGTTCATCTTAATAATTATCACAAAACAATTATTTTCAAGGAAAAAAAAGTCGAAATGCTTTGATTTCTTTCACTCTTAATGAATAATCTTTGTATGAAGGAAATGATTATATAAAATTGTAATTGATTCTATATACTTAATTGATAGTTAATATATATTTATTTCTTTGTATATTGAAGATAACAGCTTTTAATAAACTATTTGAAAATAAAAGTACTGATTTATCCGTTTTGAAAAGAAATAAGCGATAATCTATCAAAAATTTTTCTATTGTTTCATATAAAAAGAAAATTGAGATGTCGTTTTTTGTGTATTTTGTTGACTATAACTTGCCTCATATACACCTCTCTTATCATTATCGTCCTTGAGAAGACAATATATTTCCGATTCAATTGTTAGAGTCTGTAGATAGAAAAATTACAACTATCTGAGTTTTGGACTATAAACACTAACCTTCACCATCTATGATCATTCATAACTACCCTGTAGTATTTACTATCTTTTCCGCTTTAGCTGTCCGAAACTATCCCAAATAGCAATTGACAAAAGAGGATGTAAACGCGTGAAATGTGTAGAATAAATATGTTGTTTTTTTTAATCTCACTTTCAAGATACTTTAATCGCCGGGATGAGAAGATGTTATACAAGTGCTCTCACGATCACGATGACACTTTATCAAAACCACAAATGAATAGGTTGAAAACAGTTTTGTTTACTATCTCTGACGAGTTCATCATGTCGAATGATTGTACATATCGAAGATAGGGATTGTCGAAGCCAATCAGTGAGTTCATCATTTGACGATGATGAAATCTCGTTTTCGTCGTTCTTCATCCTCCAAATATCATCTCGACATACAACGTTCAAAGTACGTAGATTCGACATCCCCTCAATCAGTTCTAATATATTATGACGGTTTTCAACAGCAATTGCAAGTACTTGGCATTGTTTCCCTATCGACGAATGACACAATTGCATACATTCCTTTGAATTATATTCTTGATCAATATCTTGTAAACCAAGTTGACGAATTGACTTATTGAAACAATCGTACGGAGGCTTTTGTTCTGACCACGGTAATGACCAATACTTGAATGTCAATGAAGTCAGATATGGTGCTCGATTGAGTAACGCTTGCAATTGTTTCTGAGCATCGAACTCATAATCCAAACGATGTGTCGATACTTGTAACGAAATCAATCGCTCGAGTTCTGGTACAATAAGAATCAAATTCTCATCGAACGGAAGATGTACATCCAAATAATGCAGATTCTTAAATCGAAAGAAAGGCAAGATTCGATCACTCGTAGGAATGACTTCATATCCTATAGTACGAACGTTGTCATATGATGAGTCATCGTTATCGACATGACGAGTTGACTTCGATTTGATATTCGCTCGATGAACAGAATAAAAATCGAACGCATACGGTAATGTATAAAGATAAACATTGTTTTTATCACATTGCTCACAACAATTCCAATCGCATCGAACGAACCACTGATGTTCGCCCAACCAAAACTGTGTTCGGAATGAATTCAAGAGGTCATCAACTCGTTGCTCTTTGTTATCATAATCCTCGAGTCGAAAGATCATTTTTAGATGAAACTGCTTCAATCGTGGCAAATATTTAACAATAATTTCTTCCCAATCATGCCCATTCATGTTAACTTCATCTGTTGTGACAGTTAAGCAACGTAGTTTCGGAATATGCTTCAGAATAGTCGTCAACGTCATTGGCGACATATACGCGGATAATTTTACTGTGGTCAACGATGTGACTGGAAATTCACGCGATAAATCATCATCTGAATCGTCTCGTAGCAAGATATGAAGATATTGTAGAGACGGAGTGTGTCGTAGGAGATTGTTTAGGTCATTGCAACTGTAACAATAGGATTCGATCGATAGAGATTGAAGCGACGTCGAAATTGTAGATGGATGAATTGCGTAAGAACCTTCCGAATGAAAATCGATATCCATATGACAAGAGATAAGTTCAGGTAATTTCCAGAGATCATTAAGTTGATTTGAAATGGATTGAAACTCAGTTTTAAAAGAACAATCTGTGAAATCAAGGCGAGTCAAATGAGGAAAGTGATGACATTCAATCAGCAATTGCTGCATTACGATGGACGAACGAAGATGGTAGATTTTGATTGATCGTAAAGCGTTCAGTTGGAAGAAAGTTATACCATAACTAAGAAAAGAATTGATTGAATTGGGTGTTTCAATATTGTCCGATAGAGTTAGAGAGATGATTCGACTAGCAATTAATGGTAAATCTCGTTGACAAAAGGAACGGAAATCATGTTTCGATACAGATCGAAAATTAAGATGATAGGTTTTATAATGAGTAAGAAGAAGTGTATCGAATCGAGCATTTAATTGATTAAAAGCACGAAGAATATCAACAGCAGAAAGATACTCAAGTATATCAAGCAATAATTCGTTAGCCAATTGTTCGAAATTCATCGTATATATTTGAATAAAATGAAGCAGTGACGTTACTCTTTTTTCGCTTTATCTTCATACCACGTTTTTATTTGCTGATAAGAAATATTAGTAAGAAGCACACGTGTTGGCTTTTTTCTTATGGTTTCCGATTACGCAAATACTACAAGGACGACATGTGTGTTTAATTGTGAATTATCTGATAAAATAGTTTACGGTATTTTTTTCTAACTTGAACAATTAAAATGTGATTTAGACAATAGGTTGGAGTAGTGGAGCGTCACAGTGTGCTTTGGAAAGGTCGTCATTTAAGGACTATTTATTATACAGACGACAATGACTATTAAATAAAACGAAAAATGAAATGAATAGAAGAGTAATCACACATTAGTATTTCATTTGTAAAATTATACTGTGTTCTATAGATTTGTACTCGATAACCACGTCTCTTTCGATAGAAAAGAGAATGATTTCCATAATTCTGCCAATACCACCAATGAAATTAGACAATACACTTCTAGCTATTTAATTGACTGAATGTGAAATCTTCTCGAAATATTTTCTTTTATATATCATTTGCGTAGGTGCCATAAACAAATTGTGAGTGTATATAAACGGATTTGACAACGATTTCAATTCGACAAATTTCCTTTGTAATATTCTAACTGTCGCGGAAATCAGCGGACAATGCAGTCAAGATGAAAGCAATGCTCAATATCCAGCTGTTGTCCTAGTGGCGCAACATATTATTGTCCAACTAGTCATCCGGTGTGTTGTGGTAATACGGGCGAGTGTTGTCCTTCTGGAACATATTGCTGTGGCAGTGGTAAATATTGCTTGAATGCACGAAGTCTTTCCGCCAACACGATCTCAGCGGTACAAGGTGCGAACACAAAATCGAGCAAATGAAACTTGAGCGTAATTTGTGCAGGAAATAAAATGGATCTACTGAACGAAGTTTTTATTAAATTTAGTCTTAGTTCGAGAGTTTCAAGATTAAGTTACAGGGAAAACTATGATAGAAAAAAGTGTTCAATCCTTTTGAACTGGAATCGGATTTGCTAAATTGTATATCTTTGCGCCTTCAGAATAGTCTTTTCCTGGAATTCGCTCAATATCTGGAGGAAATTTCTCTCGTTTATCAGCATAATAAGCATGACGACAATCGCCATCAGATAAAGCATTAAAAGTTAAATAAAAAGCACGTCGTGGACGATTGGAAAGATTTTTCCCTGATCGATGAGGCAAAAGCGAACCAAAAAACAACAGAGATCCAGCTTCCACTTCAACCGCTTCCCATCGATTTTCCTTTTCCCACTTTTCCACTAATTTCTTTTCAAGAACACCACCGGGATGAGGCAACATTCCCGATTTATGTTCACCACGAACAACTTCAAGACATCCATTTTCTTTATCGGACTTATCTGCCGCAATCATTACAGTTAATTGAAAACGATGTTTAAAACCGACATATGCAGGCGCATCTTGATGTGCATCGAATCCGGCACCACCTGCCAGTTTAAAATTAATCTTCTCTTTGAAAAGCACGGCACGTTCTCCCAAAAGTTCAGAAACAGCATCAGTAATTTTTCCACGGATCAGTTCGTCGAGGTCAGAGAAATAATCGAGAAAGTTTTCCGTACGGCATATGAGTTTCTTCTCGCTCGCGACTTCGAAGTATTGCATCCATTTACCGGTAGTTTCGGGAAGAGCAAGAATTTTGTCAGCATATTCCACAAACTTCTTCTTTTCATCGGCTGTCAGAAGATCGGTTTCAACAAGAAATCCATCGCTCTGGAACTGTTTGATTGTTTCGTCTTGGAATAGTCGACGTTTTGTTGGAGTCGATGGTTTAGCATTCACCATTTTCAAAAAAAGCCTTCAACAATCAGTGAGAAGTAACAGACGTACGTGAAAATAGGCGAGGTATATAAATAAAACGTTGATCATTGACGCATAGAGAAGACTGAAGTAAAATGTACGCCTTAGTTACACATAAGGGCGTTCTACAAGTACGCGTTATAAAAGTAAATCTGAGCGTTCTAATAGTACGCATTATAAAGGTGAATGCGCACAATGCGCTTATTTTAACCTTCATTTTGAGTATTATAGAAAAAAAGAACATTCAATAACATGCGCGTGAATCGTACGAACGGAAAAAAACATTGTGTGTACGTCTGGATAAAATATTATGTGAATTGTTTTTTGTAACACGGGTGAATACTATCTCGATTACCTCTGAAAGTTCTGCTTCACCAGGGTCAGTAAACTGCAATAAAGCATCTCTTAACACTCGTAATTTATTTCGACATAACAATAATAAAGTCATGTAATATCCATAAGATTTTCTACATGCCTGTGTCGACATGTTTATTGCACGTTGTCTTTATACGAAGACAGTTAAGTCGTTTTCGAGAGGAATTCGAACAAGATTTTTATCTTTATTATCCAACTGTTCAGTAAATCAGCCGGACAACGGACACAATATACACATGTCATTCAAGTATAAATATCACTCGTAGTTTCAAATCGTTCTATGGTGCTATTCATTGATATGTCTGAAACTACACCGAAGATGGATGAAGACGAACTTCAACTAGAAGTCGAAACGATGATAACGAAACAGAAGTAAATATTTCATTATAGAATCAACCATATTTAGTTTGTGTCTCAATAAACATATTCAGGTGATCGCGGATGAAACCTTCTCGAATATTTCAGAAGAAGTTCCTGTGGACGTCATCAGTGTTATTGCTGTCGATTGCGAGCGGTTCGATCATCGTTTTGATTGCTTACCATGCATCACAGGAGAAAGATTCAGCAACGAGTAGTGATTATGAATACAATGATGGAAAACTACCACAATTACGATCGTATACATCCGGCAAAGTCAATCTCGATTTTTGTCTCATGTTTATAGATGTGACGTTCTTTCTTTAGAAATATAGATTTGAGCATTCAGATGATGCCGGGTATCTGAATATTTATATGCGTAAAAATCCTGATGATAGACGATATCGTCCAGAGAAAGTTCGTTTTCCCGCTGCTCGTTTTGATCGTCGACGACTTCGTATATTTGAAAATCTCTGCTAATCGTAGCAAACAACTACATTTCTCTTCTATTTAGCTGTCAACGGTCCATTTTTCCATTTTTTGCCACGAGTTCCAATATTTGCCGATCGACGCACAAAACAGGCGCTCATTTGGTCAACGTCCGGAGGCGGTAATCATAGTTCTTCACTTCTATGCGAATTCATCACTTGATTTACCGTCGCATCTTGTAGTTTACATCTTACCTCCACTATGGTGAATAGTTTCGGTCAGCTCTTCTCAGTTGCAGAACTGATCGCATCCGGCTACGCCACGTTTGCTTCTGTTCCTTCATAAATCTTTTTATTAATGTGTCTTTACGTTTCACAGTGTTTGGTCCAAATATTCCGATACTTAGACCTCGACAAGGCGGCGTTCGTACAAAATATGAATCTTTATCAATTCCTCGAGATTACTACAGATCATCGAACCTACGTTCGAGAGTGGATATGGATGATGACGACGATGCATTAATACGACATCAATACGATAGAACCACGCGAAAAACTTCAACATCATCGATTCCCAATAAAATTGGTCAAATTCAGAAGAAATTAAAAGAAGCTTTAACAAATATTGCGAACACATTTCAACAAGGGATATGTGCTGATATGATTTTAAATGAAACTGTGCGTAAGAAATATATCTCGAAAACCTTAACCGGGCGCGTCCAACCTGTTGGAACATTTGACACAACACAAATGGCTGTAGAATATTTATATGGTCTCCTATGTGCTATACCAAATCTACCAGAAAGAACTAACTTATACAAAACAGTGGATATCTTGGAATTAACATATGATCCAAATTTTTATCGAACTTCAGTCAAGTTTCAAGTTAATTTATTGACGGAAATTTCAAATTATGTGGATACGAAGCTGTCATTCAGAACGTTGGTTTAACACTTGATTTTCCGATAGAACAAAGAACGCCTATTATAAACAACATCTGTCAACTATAGTACAAGTCATATGTCCTATGTGGGTTCATCGAATCAACAATATGCAAACTTATCTGACTGTGTTTCATTTCTTAATGAATCGCAAGCTCCCTTTGGAACGTTTGATCGAGCTGATCAAAACAACGTTGTTTGTCGATTAAATCATATTTTCAATGAACATCGGACTTTACAACTTGTGCCGATCAATTTCGCAAATAATGCCTTTTTGAGCTCTTTGGAAAAGAATTCCTACAAATGAACTGATTTTTCTCACAGAAAATAAAAGAGATTATAATTACATGAAAGATGAAAGTAGAACGGTTAAAAGCGGTATAGTTAATTATTGTTGACATACTTTGTCATATGCCGTCAAATTAGAAATCATCTGAAGGATACTTTTCATTTGTAAGATACAGCTAAACGACAAGTATAAATAGATGAAGAGAAGAACTGTGATGTTTGTCTTCATTGAAGACAGAAACTATAAGCAAAAAAAAAGAGCTTGAAGCAGTTTATTCTGCTATAACACAACTTGTCTTTGACAAAAATTACTTTCAATTAAATATTTAGTTAATCTTTTCCGAAGGTTGTCAACTGCATATCCTGATGATTAATTCTTCTCAAAGTTAATGCTTCCACATTCAGAAAATCTATCGCAATTATTTCACCGTCAAGATAAGTCGCGACATTGCAGATAGTTTGGCAGAATTTTCTCTGTAGATTTGAAAAAAGTTACTCATGTCATCGACTAGTGTGTTTACCGATCAAATCAATACAGCGACAACGACGATTGTATTTTGTGTTTTAGTAATTAATTTCCTCTTAGGTTCAATAAGTTTAGTATTGAACATTATTATCTTTACTAGACCGACACTTCGACGTCAACCGTGTGCAATTTATTTTCTTACGTCATCGTGTCTCAGTTTATTTGTTATTTATGTCATTTTGCCGGTGCGAATTGTTTCAAACAGTTTTAATGAAGATTTAGCGAATTATTATCTATTTGTATGCAAAACTGAATTTTTTCTCTTTTTCTCCATTCGAGCGACATCCTGCTGGGCGATTCTATTCGCGTGTATCGACCGATACTTTCACAGTTCATCCAATGTTAATCTACGTCGATTAAGTTCCCTAAAAACCGCGAAAATCACCATGATTCTTACAAGTCTCATTATTTCACTTTCGTATTCTCATATGATTGTTTATTATACTATCAAACAAACAGTAAATCAGTACGGAACTATAAGAGCAGTTTGCACGGATCAAAATGGAAATTATGCTACGTTCATCGCATTCTGGCATATGATATTATATTCACTCGGACCAACAATTTTCATGTTTTTATTCGGATATTTAACGTTGCGCAATCTTCGACAAGGTCGTCGATTAGTTCCAGCGATTGGAACTGAAAATCAACGAAACATTCGACGAACAGATAATCAATTATCCAGAATGTTAGCAAGTCAAGTATTTGTTATTGTTATTGCCACTTTACCATTTTCATTCTGTCGAATTTATGTTTCGCTAACGGAAAACATCCCGAAAGATACTTTGAGACTCGCACAGGAAAATCTGGCGATCAAAACTTTAGGCGCGATGACGTATTTTACACATTCAACAACATTTTATTTATACACTTTGTCGGGAACCCTTTTTCGACGAGAACTAGCGAAAATTTGCCAGTTCAAATGAAAGCGTCGCATCGTTCCAAAAAATTGACTAAGAAATCAAGAGATTAGTGTCAAAAGAAATGATCGAATGTGTAAATAAAAGCAGACGTTTAATAAATAAGTTCAAATTGCAGACGTAATCGTCCTAGAGGATGACCACCAAATAAATAAAATGTCATCGATCGATACGGTGTCTCAGTCTTACATTTGAGCAAAAGTCCATAGTTTGCTTGATCAGACATACGCATATCATTCATCAAATTTGTAATGTCGATGCCTGGAACTGTCACAGCCTTGACTGTTATTGTACTAGTGTTCCATGGCGTAATCACCCTTTCAATTTAGAGATCACTGAGGACGTCAAACAACTTCAAACTAGTTGACTGTATACTTGTTATGTTCGATTCAATTTGATTTATTGCATCGAAATAAACCAAAAACTCCAGCTACTTCGGTACTACAACCACCAGCGTTGTTCGTCCCGGTCTATACAGAAAAAAGACGTTCCTAATAATCCCAAACAGCTGTATCTGCATACCAAGTGCACGTTTGAAACCAGATCAGATGAGTGGCAAGATTTTTTTCTATCATTTAAAGGTATGCATTGCGATGCCGGGCAGTTTGATAAAGAACTTTCTGCCGAATGAAAGTCATCGAAAGAACTAAATTCAATACTGGAATTATTTTTGCTACACGTATATGGCGCTGATTGAGTTGTTGAATTTATTCAAAGTATTACGATGAAAAGCACAATTCAAAATGTAAAAGTATCTCTGCTAGCATGGAATAGGATCGATGCGCTATATATGTCGATCATAATACTGTTTCAACTACTTAACAACCAACGATCAGACCAGAGTAAAAGTTCCGTTGAATGAAATGATGACATATCAAACAATTCCGGTATGTTGTATAAATAAACATCACTAGAAAAGCTTTCGTACACGAACATTGGAACGTATTCACATATTATTTCTTATGAAGTTTTTCATACAAAAAAGTTAGACTGCTGAGAATGAAGCAGATTTCTATGCGCACCACCGAGCCATATGTACCGCATTAAAATACCAATAGAAACGGTGAAAACAAATGGCGAACAATTCGCAAATCAAATGTACTTCATATAATGAAGTATAAACCATGAAGAAATTATAATAATGATCTGTACACAGCGACAGATTAATTTTCTCCTAGAACATTTATTTACTACCAACAAACAACATGCTGTGCGATATTTTACAACGCTCTACATATGCATATGCTTCTTTTTCATTGAAATGGATATGTATCAGTTCCTAATAAGATATCTCTGAAACACAACGAGAGAAAAACTAACAAATGATTATTTCATTGCCTGTTATTAATTGGTATTTCCAATATAGACAGCGAGATCAAAATCATGATAGGAATTTATTATAAGTTAATAATGCACTCGCAAACAATTTGCTTCTCGAGTTCGTTTAGCCTAAAACTCTGATTGCATCCCAACAATCATCGATTTCGGCGTGAAAGAATTTGGTTAAGTACACGTGATGTACAATTCATATTTACATCGTAAATAAAAGTTTCATTGCCGCCTATCCTTCATTCAATCTCAATTTCATCTTCAAAGAATAATTTGATTTGATAGTCTTGAAAAAATTAAACAACAAAATCATTGAAAGAAAGGTCAAACAAATGCGTATAAACTGAAATAAATAAGAAAATGCCAATATATTTCGCCCTGCCATGAATGATTTCATATTTGATTTCTTTATGCATCGTCACGATTGACGACCGTTACCCTTCACTACTTTTCGCCTTCTTCCTCGTCTATTGTCGCCTAATGTTTTTTTTCTTTCTTTCCTCTCTTTCCTTTCATTCTGATATAAGAGTTCATTGAAATATGTGAGAAGGTGTGTGCTGGTCACATTCGTTTGTTTAACTGTCTTTCTCGAAAGTTATTCGGTACAAAATGAAGTTCGGTGTTCATCTATTAGCAAATTTGACACCGGAATGGAATCGCCAGTATATTCAATACGAATACTTGAAAGATTTTCTTGATAAAGCGATGCAGCAGTCTGTGATTTTGAATGAAAAGTCAAGATTAGAAGAATATTTTTGTCATGTTGATGAAGAATTTTTCCAAGTAATTTCATATTTTCATTGCATGGCCATCGAGATACACTTGTTTTGATGTAGTTTTGCGAAAAGGAAGTGACAAAGATCAATACATTTTTTGCGGAAAAGCTGGCGGAGTAAGTGAAATGATGAAATATTTGTTTGAATGATGAAAATGTTGTCCTTGTAGAGCAATGAGACGATTTACAACATTGAAAGATGAAATCGACTATCGAAAAATGATTTACGGAGACAATTGTTCGAATGACAAATGTTCAGTTTCATTTATTCATAAAACTAATCGTATTGGTATTTCAAATGGTGAAGCAAAGTTGATGAAACAGATGAGTCGTTTCGTTCCTGATCGACTATTTCAAGATAAAAGAAGACTTTCAAGTGTCAAAACATTGAAATTGGCATTTAGTGAATACTATCTCATGTTAATTCTTTTACAAAAATATCAACTACTGAATTTCACTGGATTTGTGAAGATTCTGAAAAAACACGATAAATTATTTCAAACAACGCGCGGCGAACAATTTAGGTTCGATCGAATTTTCACAAGAAAATTTTGTGAAGAGAATCTCTGTTCTAGGAAATCTCATATTGAAACAGCAGCATTTTATACAGCAACGAAAGTAACCGAACTCATTCGTGACGTGGAAAAAATTTACACGAGCGAACTTGAATCAGGCGATCGAACACGAGCTATGAAACGTCTTCGCGTCCCGCCACTAGAAGAAATACAATCATCATCAGTGACATTTCGCCTAGGCATTTTCATCGGTAACATCTCGCAGCATTGTACAGTCAAAGATCGAAAGAAAAATATTTTGTTTTCCATAGGAATTCTCGGTGTTTTAATCCCGTTATTGATAATTTTAATTATCATCTTGAGAAAAAGTCAAAGTGGCGCAGTCGTACGTTGGCGTGATGGGTTTCATCTATATCGTTCATCGTTTTTGATAATCCTTCAAGTAATCTTAACTGGAATCAATATTTATGGTTGGACCTCGTCAGGTGTCAATCATATTCTTATCTTCGAAATCGATCCGCGAAATCATCTAACATATCAACAACTTCTCGAAATTGGAACATGTTTGTGCGTCCTTTGGTCCTTTAGTTTTATAGTCTTTGTCATTACGTCTTATTTGGACTATTATCCATTCGTTCATCCATTAATCTTCGTGATCTTTCTCTTGGTGTTCTTCTTCAATCCATTTCCAATACTTTATTATTCCGCACGTTGTTGGTTAATGAAAACCTTGGTGTTAGTCTTTACCGCTGCATTCCATCCGATACGTTTTGCGGATAATTGGCTTTGTAATCAATTGACATCGCTCGAATTAGCTTTTTACGATTGTGAATATTATTTTTGTTTTTATTTTTCCAATTCCGACTGGTGGAAAACAAATTTAATTGCGTCGTCATTACCCTCAGGCATCTTTTGTACAGGCTGGACAAAATTCCTCCTTCAAGCCTTTCTTCTCGCGATTCCATCGTCGCTCCGTTTCACTCAATGCATTCGTCGGTATTATGACACAAAAGCAAAGTATCCTCATCTTCTCAACGCCGGTAAATACGCCATGGGCTTTACCGTTGCCATTACAAATTCACTTCGACGCGCAAGTATGTCATTAAGTGAAACTTATTCAACAAATCCGAAAACGAATCCATTTATTTACCTATGGATCATAACTGCACTGATTAATTCGACATATAAATTGATCTGGGATGTGAAAATGGACTGGGGATTATTTCATAAGAATGCAGGGGAAAATCGATTTCTACGCGATCATATTATATACTCGTCGAAGAATTACTATTATTATGGAATTGTTCAAGATTTGTTTCTGAGATACTCGTGGACGATAAATATTTTCATACAATTCCATACGGAAGCAGCGGAATATGCAGATGTGATTGGCTTTGTGTTCGGTTTGTTGGAATTGATTCGAAGATTTTCGTGGAACTTTTTTCGATTGGAAAATGAACATTTGAATAATTGTGGACGATATCGAGCGATTCGGGATATTTCGATAAAACCAATTTCAACAGATATCGATTTCATGGCAGTGAATCAGAAATCCAATGTTCGATTTCGAAGAAAGAAAGACGAAAAGGAAATGATCAATGAAAATGAGGAAAACTTCAAGAAAGTTACGAAATAATTAATGTGTGACATGTTTTTGTGTAATATTTATGCGAAAAATAAAGTATCTTTTAAAATTTCATCTAAAGATGAATCTGGATTCGTGAATTTTATTAGTATCCACGAAAAGCTGATGAAACGTTAGACATGAGCGCTGGTTGAATCACGCGATTGCGACTTAAACACTATAGCTGTTCTATTTTTCAATCCAGACATACACGTTGGAGAAATATGTGGCATACGTTGTTAAACTGGGTGGAATTATTTCGAGGACAGTTTAAAGATTACTCAAGTCAGTTGTCTTGAAAATCAAACAGACGTTCGAATGGTTGCTATTATGCAAAACAAACGAGTTGCTTACGTCAATGCTTTGAAAGCTTTCTTTTCGATAAACAACTTAGCGTTCGCTATCTGTTGTTCTGTAGTTCCTTGTGTAAGGAATATAATGCAAAAATATACTTAATGTATTAATGTTATTGCACAAAGAAAAACATCAACGCATTCTTTTTTAATGATTTTTAAAACTTTTGCCTACTTTCTGTACAAATTGAAATTCCATTAGAAGAACAAGTATTTTTATTCAGAACAAAATATATTTTTTTGTCCTCTTGGCACAGATTTAAACCTATATAAAGAGTGCTTTTTTACATTTCTAACCTATTTTATACTTCTCACTTAGTGCCTGAAAAATGACTCCTGATGGAATTCTTTTCATCAGTCTCTTCTTACACCTTCGACTGATTGACGCTTCGCATTTTCGTGGTGGAACAATCACATCGTCAGTACTCACTGTTTCATTTTGTTTCATTTCATCTTCATTCCCTTTAGGCGTCCTTATAACAATACCCCATCGGGTAGCTCAGCTGATGTTATTGTGCGAGAACGATGGTCATGGCGTCGAAGTGCATATGCTCCCAACTGTTCTCCTGCTACCATTGCTGCACAAAATCCAAAGATCGGTGATTCAAACACTCTCAGCTGTGTATCTGGAGCTTGTGGTGGCTATTGGACTGGTATGCCTGTGCCAACATTTTGTACTGATTTCAGTGCTCCTCTGGATGTCGCCTCTGGTGAATACTATCAAACATACACAATACCACTCAACGTACAATTTAGTATTGCTTTTGCTTCTGGTGCTTGGTTTGCGAATCTCATCGTTGGCGGTAATGGAAATTGGGCTGTTGTCGGTCGAATCAGTACTATTGTTCGACCTGATGGTTATCTCAACACAAGTCCTGTTGCTGTCAGTCTTCCTATTCTTTACAAAGAAGTTAACATTCAGCATGTGCATGTTGTTCAAATGTCTGATTTCGATGGTACGGATATTTTAAGATGCAGATGGTCAGTTGGAGGAACATCAACCATCAATCAGTATAACGAATGTGCTGGTGTGTGCAATGGCATACCTAGTGCCAATCTCATTGGAGCGAACTGTACAATTGTGTTCACACTTGTGACACCTAGTTGGTATGTTGCCGCAGCATTGCAAATCGAAGATTTCTACAATGCTGCAGCATTGTCAGCGAACACTCCGATGTCCTCGGTGCCACTTCAGTTTCTTTTCTATGGTTATCCAACACCCACTGGTTGCAGTACACCACCAGCGATCATTGGTAGTCGACCAAATCGAGGTAATAAGTTCGAACTTGATTGGGAGATGTTGTTTATCTGTGTCTTTTTCAGCTTGTATTGGTGTATTAGTTGGTGACAATGTTACTGAATTGGTAATCATTCAGGTTTATTGTCCTGGTAAGAGTATCATTGACTATGTATCGAGTGTACCTGTTGGTATGACAAAAAGTGCTATTCAGAATCCCAGTACTGGTTAGTTCAGAACTCGAATATTTTGAGTTGAATGAGTTTGTGATTGTTACGTTACAGGTATTTATCAAATTGTCCTAAGTTGGGTTCCTGTTTCCAGTCAGTATGGTCCACAAGCTGTTTGTATGGGTGCAGTCGACAATACGAACATTCAAACAAATCAATGGTGCATCACCTTTTTGGTTGGTTTCAAATCACCTGATGTCATTCGACCCAAAATGGTCCAAGGCTCAGCTTCACCCATCGGTACAATCTTTCAGAATCACACCACTTTCTCTATTCAAAGTAACTTCGAATCACAATTGGGCGAGGGAGATCCACAGAGAAGTCTTTCCTTCTGTTTTTAGCATCGATCTCAGTCAATCGTCCAACTCGTAATGGCACAAATATTTACTTTTACTTCGCCAATGGCACTCTTGTTCAGAAGTATGATTGTGGCTGGGAACCGGAAGTCACATACACGGGCTTCACCATTGTCATTCGTTTTCCTGTTGCACCATGGCAACCTGGCCAGTTTTATTATGTGAACATGGACAGTGGTATGTTTCTGCTGATCCTTTCTTTCATGATCTGTTGTATCGCTGTTTAGGTGTGGCAAGTGGAACTGAGTTTTGTGGTAAGTGATCACATTTCGAATATCAAAGAACGAATAAGAGAACTAACTCGAATTTAAGGTCCCGAATCCGCACCCATGACCGACCCTACATTCTGGGTGTTTAACATCTGGAATCCTGCACTCTCATCCACAACAACCACGACTACAACGCCCTTTACAACTGTTACAGTGACAACAAAACCAACATCGACAACAAGTATCAACACTCTCGTAAGACTCTCCCTCTTTTGTTCATTATATCGTATCTAAATGTGTTCCAAATAGTTAACAACAACTGGTATTGTTGTGACAACCACCAGTCCACCGACAACAACATCCACAGCTTCAACAACGGCACCACCCACGACAGCTGGTATAATCTACTGCTTTTGTTGTTCATACACAAAATCTGTTGTAATTTGTTTGTTTAGCACCAACGACAGCTGCTCCAACGTCACCTGGTTCGACAACTGAATCGACTGTTGCTGTTTTGTATCCGAAAGACTTGGTAAGTGACATTCATCATCATCATCATCCATCTGTCTATGTAACATGAATAATAGGAAGATATCTGTTTTCAACCTATTGCTATTCTGACTGCAGCATTCTTTGCTGCAATGGTACCAGTTCAAGGTTTGGCTTTGTTTGCTGCATTTACCAAATTGGCAAACACATTCAATCCATCGAAGATTGGCGCACAAGCACGACATCGACAACGAATGAAGCGAGTGATGAAAAAATAAGTTTGGACACATATAATGGACATTTTCTGAATGAGAATTTTTCGTTCTATTTAACTATCAACTTGAGAAGCTTTTCTGCGCATGCGTGATTTCTTTTTAGCGGATGGTTTGAAACTGAGTTTATAAATAAATACGATTAAAAACAATTTGAACGTTTCAGTTTGTCCTTGAAGTATATACTAAACGAATCCGAGCAGGAACATTTAAAAAATATGTCTTCATTCGAACAAAAATGTTACATGATTATTGAACTATAACACATCTCTTTGCTCCGCGCTACTTCAAATGCTTTCAACTAAAGTTGTTTTTTCAAAACAAAACACCTTAGTTAGTGGTAGCAAAGTAAATCGAAAAAAAAATGTGATCAAACGAACTTTGAATAAAACCTGGCTGTGTACGTACTGAAAAGAATTAACTGTTTCCGAGCAGTCAACAATCCCTATTTTCATAAACTTGTTCCACACGATGATACTGTTTAGCCATTCTATTTTGATAAAAAATATTCGCTTTAAGCTCTCTTACGTCAGAACATCTCCGCATGCCCCTTCATTGTACGTGGACATTATTCTCTACGAAAATAATCACGTCAGACCATTTTTGCAGTTGGATATTTACGTCGTGCTTAGGGCAGAAAACGTTCACTTTAATTTTGCGATTAAAATATGTCTGCTCCATGTTTATTCATATTCCTGATTTTATTTTAAAAGCTCGAATAGCAGTATTTTGTCCATCATTCTGATTCAGACAAGCTTGATTTCGACTCTTGTTATGTTCGATTTATCTACGAACAAGAAGACAATCAGATGTTCAGTAAAATCTCCTATGATTAACTCCTTACTGCCAGAGAGCGATAGAAAAACAACGGAAATCAAGACTTCCATTGGATAATGTGTTTAATTCATTAACACGTGCTGATTTATACTTATACCAACTTGGTATAACAACTGATCAGCTACTTGACTGATTCGCACGGATTTATCTCGTTGAATAGTACGTCATGCAATTAAATGATGAAATGAAAGTCTTTCACAATTACTCGTCGAAATGGTTCGAACCCATGCGTCAATAAAGATTCGATGAAGAGGTTTCCTTACAATTCGACGAAATTGCTCAATGAAATTTCCATACACCAAAAGAGAGACTTTTGGAAATATTACCCGACTTCTTTACTGGAACATGTTATTCATTCCTACCGAATTGTTCTTACAAACACATCAGCCTGTCTCGATTAGTACGAGATTTGCAATGTAAAATTCGATTGCATCAGTAGTGAACACAAAAAAAGAACTGTTGATTAATGGAAACCAACGAACGTCCCAACGATATTTGCCGATGCTCTTATGGTAGATAGTGCATCCCATTAACATTTCTAAGGGATAAACATAATCATTTCAATGGGAAAAACGTCAGAAACGAGTTCAATATGCTTGCCACTATGACGACAGAGTATCGTTAGTGTAGTAATAATTTTATCGACTCGAAAATTTGTTCAAATGGTTGAGTCTTACAATTTCAACTCTCGCGAAATGATCGTCAATAAAAAGTTTATATCGGGTATAGTAATTAAATACAAAGTAAACTGTCTATTTGCGTAGAAGCTGTTGTGGAAGACGATTTGGTGTGATCAAATAATCATTAGCACGATGCCGCCCTCGATTTGTATTGTTTTGAATTTCAGCTACATTTCTTTCTCTTATTGAGTCAATTTCGCCTGTCAGAGTAGACAAGTGACTCGCTGCATCAGATACCCATGCTCGTTTCGATGTCCAATCATTGTGAGTATCATTTGATTGTGCTGCTATACGTTCCAGATTTGTTTTTCGCTCATCGATCGTGCCATTTAATTCAGTTTGCTTTCGA